CTTCGCGTCTGAGGTTCGGCCAGCCGCCAAAGCAGTGCAACGGCCTCGGGCCATTGACGCTGCTGAGCAAACCTGAGTCTCGTTTAGGTTTGGGGACTCTCATGGCTCAGGATGAGGTTGAGGTATTGGGGTTCTAAGGTTTGGGGATTAGGGCCTGATTAGGGCCCGTAAGCCCTAAACTGAACCAGTTTAGGGTTTAGGGATTGTAGGGCTTAGCTGTCAGATAATGACTTGAATGGCGGCTTGCATGGGGGGTCTCTGTAGGAATGACTATGAATGGGTACCAAACGTATGAGCGTGTAGGATTAATTGTTTTTTGAGGTGTAGGGTCTAGGGATTAGGGTTCGGGGATTAAGGTTAGGGATTAGGGATTAAGCTTTAGGGATTAAGGTTTAGGGCACGCGCTTCAACTCATAATCATGAAGCCCGTCCACCACTTTGGGTATCTCACCGAAGCCCGATAGAGACCCGCACAACGTAAAGACGTCAAGCAGCAACCGTAGCCCAATGATCGAATTTCCATTGGCACCCTGCTGCACCGAACCTAAACCTTTGACAGAACAATTTGAAGAGACTGAGACCCACAGCTCAAAAATTCTAAACCCTTTGCCTACGGGTCCAGTATGCAATAACCATATACTCCGGGTCCTCATAGCAGCCATCGTTCCTTATGTTTCCTTGGAACTCATACATCTAGGACCCTTAGGTTTTTGAGTTCTGGACCGAGTTTTTCAACAAACTTAACTTCATCCTCCCAAGTTCCCCATGGCCAAAGCAGCGAGACACCTCTGCAGCTTCTTCGTGTGCTTGACAAGGGCAGCTTGCCACCCCCTGCCTGACTTACTGGCACTTTGTGAGAAGAATGAGGGAGGGGAGCCAGGGTTTAGGGTTTAGGGTTTAGGGTTTGTAGGGTTTAGGGCGGCTGCTTCAGGGCTCGTGCATCCCTATAATAACCCTCATGTAAATCCTCGAATAATCCATGTATGCACCCAGCACCAGACTCAGAGGGTCTTCGCAGACTACGGGCAAGTCGGAGGTGCGTGTAGGTGGATGTGTTTCTAGAATACGGGCTTGACTAATTACAATGTTCCGTTGTCCATTGTTGGCCCTTTGTTTGGGGACCCCCAAGTAATCAGGAATGGTAGACATGAAGAAATCTGATCAGAGTGTATTCCAGGTACTGATAACCCAACTTCCCACTACCCGGTGAACATCCTGACAGTGTTATTTGGGGCCTGGGTTTTTGCCATAAACCCAAAACAAAAAACCTAGGCCCTAAACCGTAATCCCTAAACCCTGAGCCCCAACCCCTCGCACACCAGAACGAAGAGAGTTTGAGGTTTGGGGGCTTAGGATTCAGGGTTCAGGGCTGTGTTTTGTTTTTTAACGCCTTTGCCGCCTGCATGACAGACAGAAGACTCCCAGGGCTTTGGGTTTAGGGTTTAGGTTTCAGGGTCCAGGGTTTCAAGCTTTGGGGCTTAGGGTTTAAGGCTGAGGGTTTCGCATTGAGAAGGCAATGGACGGCAGTAACGAGTGCGCCTACATGAGAGTAGAAGGTTGATGATATGCCGGCTATTCTGCGTCAACTGGAGGAAAGCTCTGCGTCCATTCAGTTGATGCGAATATTCTGCAGGACCCCAACAACCTTATACCTTGATAATGATGGCAGTTTCGTACGTGCAGGTCAGGTAAGTCTTCAACTGTCAAGCCCTGAACTTCACCAACCACCCAACACCCTGAGCTCTCCTGACACCCAAGCCCGACAACCCTGACACCCCATCCCTAAACCCTAAACCCTAAACCCCAAACCCCAAACCCTAAACCCCAAACCCTAAACCCTAAACCCCAAACCCTAAACCCTAAACCCCGAACCCCAAACCCCAAACCCTAGATTCTCAATCCTACCTCTGGGGGGGGGTTGGCACCTGCGCTCGCGGCTCTGAGCGCTTCAGAGCCAAGCGAAATTCCCGAACAGAAGCCATTTCCCGTGTGAACCATAGTCTAAACTCCTTAAAGGGGGTTATTTAGGGGATTATATAGGGGACTAACTATAGGGGTTATAAAGGGGGATACTAGGAGGTTAGACTATAGCTCATGTGGGGTTTGGGTTGTTACGGCATTTAGGCTTTTAGCGTTCAGGGCTTAGGGCTTGGAGTCTAGGGTTTAAGGTCTGGAGAGGCCTGGGGTATGTGAAGTATCCAAACGGGAATGCATACCGCGAATAGTGAAGATCCCGCATGACCCTAAGCAAGTACCTCGAATGATGTTGCTATAGTACACCCAGTTCGTGCAGGATTTAGGGGGTCAAGAGTAGGATACGCCGCAAGTACGCCTAAACTCTAAGCCCTGATCCCTAGACAGTTATTGGCTCTAAGATGTCAATGGTCCTCGCAACCATCTGGAACCCTGAACTTAAATCTCTCAAACCCCTAAGCCCCAAACCGAAAAAACGGTGAGCTGACAAACTGTAAACCCCAGAATCCTGTACAAAACACATCAAAACCTAAACACCAAACCCTAAAATCCTAAGCACACACTCGCCTGCTTCTTTGAAGAACAGTGCTGGGAGTGTTGGTAAAGGCATCCTTCTCCTAAGATTGCGGGCTCGGGCATGGGACATAGGACCTTTCAGACTCTTATTCCTGAACCCTAAACTTTAAACCCTAAACTCTAAACCATAAGCGGAACCCTAAATTTCAAACATATTAAACCCTAAACCCTACGCATGGTGGGGAGCTGCAGGGTTCTCGGAGACTTGAGGCTTGCTCTGGGTTTAGGGTTTAAGGCTAATTAAGGATTTAGGGCCTATAGGGTTTAGATTTTAGGCTTCAGGGTTAAGAGTTTGGAATTTAGGGCTTAGGGTTATAAGGGTTTAGGGTTTGGTCCAATTTCTCGTCCCAGGATCTCTGGAAGCGTGTGCTGTTTTGCTGCCCTCAGCGTTTAGCCCAAGCTGAATTTGCAAACTCCCAACCTAGCCCAAGCCTAGACCCAAGCCTAAACTCTGGAGGCGCGTCTTGGAGGTTCGTAAGAAGTTCGATGTCGGGCTACAAATCTTCTGCTGGAAAAAATGGACGCTTATGGTTTAGGGAGCCATCCCGCTTCGAACCCCACTTACACCTGTACAGAGAAACCTCCGATATACCCCACGACGCTCTAAACCCTGAAGCCCTAGATCCTGAACTTCTGGCCCAAACTTCAAAACCTCAACCCAAAGCCCCACACCGATAACTCCAGGCCCTAAGCCCCAAACCCTGAAGCCTAAACGCTACACCTTAAACCTCAAACCCTTCAAACCAATTTGAAGCCGGGGTACACGAGAGCGCCTCCTTTTCAGAGCCATGGCTTCAACTCTTGCTGTTCCTAAACCCCGAATGCCTTTGGGGCCGTTTGAAAGGATATTGGACCCCGAATAACTGCCTTTGGGCCGTTTGAAGGGGGTTTGGGCCATTATTCTACCCACTTTTAGGATCTTGGTTGCCCAGATTCTGCGATTTGGCTTCACGGTTTGACGTTGAAAGAATTCGGGTTTAAGGTTTACTGTTCTTTTACAACCGATGGATTTTGCCCCTAGGGTTTATAAGGGTTGGGGTTCATGGAATGATTAGGGTTTCATTAGGGCCATTAGGGATTGGGCGTTGGCGGTCTGGCGTTTAAGTGGCAGGGCTTAGGGTGCGGTTTGGGAGTCGAGGGTTGAGGTGTTCGATAAATGCGGTGTTTAGTGTGTAGGCTAGGCAGGGTTCAGGCGCAAGTGCATTCGTAAACTCCTTGTTTAGGCTCCTTGGGTACCTGAACTTAGGATTTGCCTTCCGCTTCACCATCACAAAAGAACTGGACAAGGGCAAAGGGTACAGTTCCGGCTGCGGAAGTGAAAATTATAAGGGGATAGTAATGCGGGGGGTTCTCATGCAGGTGTCGGTGAATTGTGAGGAGTTCGGATCTAAGGCTGGATGGTCTAGTTTAGGATTTAGGGCTCGGGGTTTAGGATCCACAAAGGGTTTAGGGTTTCAGGTTTGGGGCGTGGAAGATTCCACATGTGGGTCTAGTCTAAAGGCTCAGAGCCTGTACATCAAGCGGCAAATGCTAAATTCAGCGATGTCTCGGTCTCCCAGCATGAGTACCACACGAAGAAAACAACTGTGGTGTTGCTGAACCCTCAACTAAGTAGTCGACACCGTCGAACCCTACACTTTCGTGTTGCTTGACACCCTAAGCAGTCTAGCAATCGAGCATCCCTGGCGCATCTTGAAAATGGCACTTGAGGACCTGTGCAGAGCACCCACCCTTGGAATATCTGCCCTCCATGCAGGTGCTTGCCCTGACCCAAACCGAAAGGAACTGCTGTTCGTTGTTAAAGGGCCTGCTGTTCTGTTTCGTGTCAGTTTGGGAGCGGGTACAGTTCTTTCCTCAAGGGCTTTGCTGCTGCAACCGCTGTGGCTTCCGCAGTTTTCTTCACCGGAAAAAACTTGAGAAATTTCCAAATGGTTTATAGGTTCAGGACGTGCCCAAATGTGATTTAAAGCTTGCTCCCTTCCCCTAGCAGCAAACCATGTCCCATGCTCCGCCAAAGAATGGAAAGTCATAAGACGAATGTTTTTTTTTCCGGAAAGAAAAACCTTCCTCCTCGTCCCCCTCCCCCTCGTCCCCGTCGTCCTCCCCCTCCTCCTCCTCTTCCTCCTCCTCCTCCTCCTGCACCCTCCTTCCCCGCCTCCACCGGTTGTCAAGTGTCTGAGCCTCATCCACGCCTCAAGCAAAAGCTAGGCTCAAGCACTTCAAGCCTCAATCATAAGCTTGGAATGCTATCTGCTATCCCTTAGCCCTAAATCATCCCTAGACGCCCGAAACTCCTCAGTCTACCACTGAGTTCAGAGAGGATGCGGGAAGAGACCGGTATAGTAGCCCCGTGATGATCCCCTGAAGTAAACCCTACAATCCATGCTTCAAAAACTGTTAAGCACCAGGGCGTAGTAGTCCCCATCCAACACAAGATCCGTGGCTCGCACCCAGAGAGCAAATGAGGATGAGAACCTGGGTGTTACCTGGCGAGTGTAGGTCTGAGGCCTTTGGACATAGTGTTGAGATGTTGGGGTCAGGGGTCAGGGTGAACTTGCTTGTCAAAATTCAGGCTCTGAATTGGATGAAAAGGAGATCGTCTTAAAGATGAGAGGTGATTCACGGTAGTGTTTTTGCTAGGTCGGTACAAAACGAGTGTTCTCCAGAAAAATTCTTGTGAGACTATAGGACATTACTTGGTTGCACTTTGGGTCATTGTCTACGTGCCCTACAACCCAAAAAACATTTATAGATTCCAGCTCCCATGTCATCTTACATAGATGTTGCTTCCATGTGTTTTTCCATAATTGATAACATCATCCCGTAAACCCTGACCCTAAGCCTTAAACCCTAAACTCTAAGCCTTGAACCCTAGACCCTAGACCCTAAACCCTAAGCCTTAAACCCTAAACCTTAACCGCCTTCATAAAACAGCAGTATCGTCCTCGGCACTGACGCCATCACCTTGCAGACCTAGCCCTTTGGCTTTAGATTTACGGTAGGTTTAGGGATTTTGTTCAGGGTTTAGGATTTCGGGTTTGAGGTTTAGGATTTAGGATTCAGGGTTGAGGGTTTAGGATTTAGGGTTTGAGGTTTAGGATTCAGGATTCAGGGTTTAGGGTTGGTAGGCCTGAAGTTTCAGGTCCCCCAAGATGGACACCAAACGAAAACATGAATAAATACATATATATATATCTATATCTACACACACACACACACTTGCAGGCATCCCCGGAGGGATGTAGAAGATTTAGTTACAGCTTCACACTTGCTTGCTCACGTCAACTTGTCTGTGACATGTACTGACATGTCTGCACACT